GAGGGGCAGGGAGCCGCCCCCCCCCGGTTGGCGGGGCTGGGGTGCCCTTAGGCCTGTCCCCAGCGCCCAGCCGGGGCCGCCCTGCCCGCCTGTCCCCACCCACCGCGGGGCCGCCTCCGGGGCGGCGGGAGCGCCCCGCAGCGCTGGGTGTAACGGCAGGGCCTGTTCGAGGAGTAGCTCTGGGGCCGGGCGTGGCCGGCTGGCTCCTGCACCCCCGAGAGTCCCCCGCCTGCTTCGGTGTTAAATGAATACCGGTAGGCCCCAAGCCTGGCACGATCGAGGTGACAGCTCGAGGAGGGCAGGGCGCTCATCAGACGGGCACAAGAAACCCCTGGAACGAGTATAGTAGCCGAGGGTGGCAGACAGGTCTTATTTTTCTCCCGTTTCCTGAACTTGAAGTTTTGGCAGCGTTTTGTGTGCCGTTAAATGCTTTGTTCTGCCTCTTCCCCAGGCTGGCGAAGGCGTGGGTGATCAGGCACTGGGAGCCAGCGGGCAGCAAACCATACGCGAGAGTTGAGCGCCGAGTCAGAGGGGACGGGAGAGCTCTAGGTCCCCAGGCTCGCTCAAAAGATACTTCTAAAGGTCAGTAGCTATAAACACATGTAAATATCTACAATTAATAATAACAGGCTAGTTTTATATATTCATCAATCTGCAGTTTGGTTTGATAGTGTTCGTTTCAGATTAAGTAGTTCTCCTGTGGTTACAACCCTTTTTCGAGTGGATTAGGAAAATCAAGGTTTTTCCATAAAAGTTTAATAGGAATTGGATCAAAACTGGAGCAAGCCTGTAGTCCAGACTCCCAGCTATGTGGCTGGGGGCATGAATGTTAGAAATGGTATCTGCTTTGTGTTGCAGATTTAGCTGTACTTGCCTGCTACAGCGATGGACAGCGAAGTGCAAAGGGATGGCAGAATACTGGATTTGATTGATGATGCATGGAGGGAAGATAAATTGCCGTACGAGGATGTGGCTATCCCTCTGGTAGGTGAATTGCTACTTATCAATCTGAGTCAAGACTGGTGTGTTTACCACAGCCCCTTCCAAGAAACAGCACAGAAAGTATTACTTGTGGCGCGGCTAATTTGTACAAAAGGTTCCTGGGGTGGATCTGATTCACTATTTTTCTGTCCTACGTGCCAGTCATTCCTGTGTGCAGACGAGGATATGGATGTTTCTCTCCCCCTTCCCCTGGCCAGTTGCCATATCTCCTCAGAACTGGAGTGCCCTTCCCATCGCCCAGTTCTGGGTTTGGCATCAGGGAGAAGTAGAATCGTCCTTTCTCTGTGGTTCCCCTTCACGTTACCAGTGTTTGAAGTGGTTTCCCAGTTGGTCTGTAGAACAGAGGATCCGTCTCATGCTGACAGTTGCAGTCTCGATTACACTTTATTTCCACTTTTTGAAATTCCATTAAAAGAAGCTGAAAATTTTTCAAATGTCTTCCTAATCAGCCTTTTCCAAATACACCGTTGCTGTTGCCAGTACAAGGATAGTAGTGAATGAACTGGCATCTGCAGTGGGACTCTGGCTTGTAGCACTGCATCCAATGCATGGCAGTTATCTTCTCAGGCAGTGTACAGCTTGTTGTGCAGCTACGAGGCCAGAGAGATGCAGCTGGGGAAAAGCTACCTCTGATCCCACAAATCCCCAAGTTGAAGCTTTGGATGTCCCCCACCGATGTCTTCCTTAGCCCTTTGGGAATTAGCAGGGAAGTGAGAGGTATCTGAGAATTTTCCCTTTGCTTGTTCTCTCTGGTACACAAGCTTTACCCTGGCTAGCACTGACAAAGCAGTCATGCTAAGATCATGGGGACTGATAGGCCGTTAGTTTCTTTTAGCACAGAGACATTTCCAAATTGCCAGTGACATGGCTCAAGCTTTAGCCCTTACACCACTGTCTTTTCAGAAAGGGTAAGGAGCAGCTACACGCCTCCAAAATCCATATATACAGCACACAAGTTTTGCTGCCAAGATTTGGGCTTGAGGGAATGATCTTGCAGAACTGTGATTCTCAGATACGAGAGCCCAAACCCCCCTTTGCTTGGGATAACCTTTATTAGGCAGGCCGAATATTATCAACTAGGTCCTTGGTGACATTTGCCTTTACCCTGTGTCCAAACATTACTGTTTCTTTCCTTGCAGCCATCTCTTGAGCTACTTACAGTCACATACAGATGGCAGCCTCAGAGCAGGAAGCCTCATCAACTAACAATAGAAAGAAAGGCCTGGCTGTGGATATAAAGATCCCCAGGGATGGGATTGGCTCTGATCACATACATAGAAAAACTAGCACAAATTCACAGGAGACTTACTGAGCGGCATTGTAAGGGAACAAACAGAATGGCTGTAAAGTGGTATTTGAGCCTGTCCTGAGCATCTGATCCAGTGCTCACTCGAGAGATTCCTATGAACTCAAATGGGCTCGAATCATATGTTGTTTTCAAAACTGAAAAATTTTATTTTGCTCATGCTGGGATTTCCAGAGATCCAGAACTCAGAATTCTTGCCCAAATGGTATCTGGCAGAATAACACGCACTCTGTGTGACTGCACCACTACAGCAACACAGAGAACAAATAATATAAGGAAGGAAAATGAAATCTCAGTTAAACTATACTTCCTCCTTACTGTGTTGTGAGCAGCTCTGTGTTGCACCTGGTAGGGGTTTCTGACTTCTACAGTTGATATAGCACAGCCACACCTGTGTTCAGCACATAGAAAGAGGAAGGATTTCTCACCTGCCATAGGAAAGTAACATGTTACAGTTGTCTTAATAACAGCTACAATAAATGCAGTATCTGTATTCTTGGCAACAGCAAAAGAAACACATTGCAAACAAGCAATGGAATAATTGCGTCATGCTATTATTTACTTATTTTGCATTTGCTATATATTCTCCTTCTTCACTGCATGTGCAATCTGAGTGTATAGCAAGGCCCCAGGGTCCTGGAAAACCAATTTACCTTTCAGATTAAGCACCATATTCATGTGAAAAGAATATTGTTCATAACTGGGCTTAATAATATTTTTAAGTGGATCAGTATGTACGATATGTATTGTTCAGATGCACCCTCTGGTCTCGTTTGTGGATTTTTGTACTTATCCACATGAGGTCTTAGTAACCCACTCCTTTCAGGAAGCATATTATGTGTGGAATGCATTACACCTCTGTTTTGTTCTCAGAATGAGCTTCCTGAACCAGAGCAAGACAATGGTGGCACAACTGAGTCTGTGAAAGAGCAAGAGATGAAGTGGACAGATCTGGCTCTCCAGTATCTCCATGAAAACGTTCCACCCACGGGAAACTAGTGAATCAGTGAGATCTCATGCAGTGGATGCATGAATGCAATATAAAAAATATTTTTCAGCTGACCATCACTGTCATAAGCTTCTCTAAGGAGGAAACAACATTTCTGAAAAAGGCTCAGATTCAAACAGTGGTTCTCTACTCACAGTGACCGAACACAGTTTAAAATGCTTCTATAACAATGGCTATCTGACACCTCAGAGCTAATATCAGAATGTTTCTCTTATGTAGAATTATTTCATATCTTCTGTTAAATTGTTCTTAAGTTGGTGCCAATTCTGATCTTAAATGTTTTCTACATGTGATAAAAGTAGTTTTTACTGTCTCAAGTTGTAATTGATTTCAAAGCTCACAATGGGATCATTTCTGACTCTGAAGGCTTATGTCCCAAGAATGCCTGTGTATTCTGTGGTTAGAGTTCAGTGTACAGAAAACAAGTAACCATAAGTCAGTTGTTACCATCTTTAACTAGTGTGTGGCTGAGGAAGGTTGTGTGGGGCAGACATGAAAGACTGGTCAATAGGATTCAAGTAATCTGGAAACACAGGTGGTTATTTGAACTCCTCATCTCAGGAGTTGATGGTGGCGGTGGACAGCATTTCCAGTGCTGACATCCTGGGTATGTTTGCCAATACGTACTGTAAACAGTCTAATTTATGCTAAAATGGTGGTTACTCAAAATCGTTGTCTTTTGAGCGATGATTTAGAGTTACAAGGAAGAGCGTGCCCGTCCCTGTGTACCACCTGTTGAACTGATAGCCACTTGGATGAGCTGTCTCAGGTGAGAAACAGAAATCTGAGGAAAGCAATGGGGAAAAGAAACAAGTGGGACTTAGCTTCAGGCAAGAAATTGTTTCCTTTTTGTGCTGAGAAGAATGGCAAGGCCCTCTTGATTTCTTTATCTCATTTTATCTCTGATCCTCAAATGTCTTTTGCAATAGGTAAAAGCCTTCTGTTCATCTTGCATGTTTCACTGTTGGACCGATTCCTTCGCACCACTGGCAGAACTTGCTAAGGAGAAAATATTTTGACAGAGTTTAGGATTACTGGTAGAGGTGAGAAAGGAACTGGAAGGAAAACAATGTTTCAAATTATTTTCTTTTGCCAATGCATCAGAAAAAGCACTTTCCTGGAGCTTGCAGCTTCTAGACTCCCTAGAAGTTTTTTCATCTTTTTTCTCAATGTTTATCCTCTTCAAAATAACAAAACCCAACTTTTGCCTGTGTGATTACCCAATGGAATCACAGCACGTCATGTGTCCTCTGAGACTGTGATTGCTGAGCTGTGTGAGGATGGAGACCTCCAGGTGCTTGTGAAAAAAATCACGTGTGTTGCTGGGTGCGCTCCTCTGTCTGAGGTGTAAGCCGTGCCTGCTCCGAGACAAGCAGCACGCACTTGTCTGAACAAGAAGGAGCTGCAGACAGCCAGCAGGCAGAGTTAAGGATTAACCCAAGAATTAGCAAAGTCAAAAAGCTTAGTATGTACAGCATGGACCAAAGAAACAGCTATGCAGCTGGGAACTGTAATAGTTCAGCTCCTCATTGGATCATCACCAGGGGGAAAAAGCAGAGCCTGTGCTTAATGAGGTGTTTCTGATCCTCCCCATGTTCCCTTTCCCTGGCCTACGTTAGAAGAATTTGCAAAGAAAACATTAGGCAAAGCTACCACACAGCTTCTATCCCGCAACCATCCCTGTTCTCTCTTCCCCTCCCCTCTCTCACCCCTTTACAAACTCCCCCCCACCCTCATCTTTCCAATTTTGCCACTAGATCTTCCAGCTCCCATTTCAGACTTCCTTTCCGGACCGTGACAGTTGTCTTTGCATCTGCCATCTTCTTCCTCCTGTCCAGCAGGGAGAAAACCAAGCCTTTCTTACTTGAAGTAGAGCTGGATTCATGAGGTTCCAGCAGGTCTGCAAGAAAACGTGGTGGGGATACCAAATGTACGATTGTCATCCAAGACAGCAGTTGCTTGGCAGCCCAGTTGTGGTGGGTTGAACCTGGCAGGATGCCAGGTGTCCACCAAAGCTGCTCTATCACTCCCCTCCTCAGCTGGATGGGGGACAGGAAATACAAGGAAAAGCTCCTGGGTCGAGATAAGGACAGGGAGATCAATCTCCAAGTACTGTCACGGGCAAAACAGACTCAACTTGGGGAAATTAGTTTAATTTTTTACCAATCAAATCAGAGTAGGATAATGAGAAATAAGACCAAATCTTAAAAAACTACCTTCCCCCCACCCCTCCCTTCTTCCCGGGCTTAACTTTACTCCAAATTTTCTCTACCTCCTCCCCCCAGCGGCACAGGGGGATGGGAATGGGGGTTGCAGACCATTCATCATGCGCTGTCTCTGCTGCTCCTTCCTCCTCGGGGGGAGGACTCCTCACACTCTTCCCCTGCTCCAGCGTGGGCTCCTTCCCATGGGGGACAGTCCTCCATGAACTTCTCCAACATGAGTCCTTCCCACGGGCTGCATTTCTTCACGAACTGCTCCAGCGTGGGTTCTTTCCATGGGGTGCAGTTCTTCAGGAACAGACTGCGCCAGTGTGGGTCCCCTATGGGGTCACAAGTCCGGCCAGCAAACCTGCTCCAGCATGGGCTCCTCTCTCCACGGGTCCACAGGTCCTGCCAGGAGCCTGTTCCAGCATGGGCTTCCCACAGCGTCACAGCCTCCTTCGGGCATCCACCTGCTCCAGCGTGGGGTCCTCCACAAGCTGCAGGTAGATATCTGCCCCACCATTAACCTCCATGGGCTGCAGGGGCACAGCCTGCCTCACCATGGTCTTCACCATGGGCTGCAGGGGAATCTCTGCTCCGGCGCCTGGAGCACCTCCTCCCCCTCCTTCTTCCCTGACCTGGGTGTCTGCAGGGCTGCTCCTCTCACGTATTCTCACTCCTCTCTCTGGCTGCTGTTGCACAGTTTTTTTCCCCCTTCTTAAATATGTTATCACAGAGGCGCTTACTACCGTCACTGATGGGCTCAGCCTTGGCCAGCGGCGGGTCCATCTTGGATCCGGCTGGCAATTGCTCTATCGGACATGGGGAAAGCTTCTAGCGGCTTCTCACAGAAGCCACCCCGCTAGCAAAACCTTGCCATGCAAACCCAATACACCAATGGAGACCCAGGTTGACTCAAACTGGTACCTTCCCTTTGTCACAACATCATGCTGTGCATCTGCCTCCTGCCTGAGCTGTGATCTCGTAGGTTAGGAGGGATGCTGGGACACAGCGCTCAGGCAAGCCAGAGGGACATGGGAGAGAAGGGATCGTCATGAATGCTACCAACGTAGGGCCCTGCAAAACCAAGCGCTGGCCCTGCCCAGATGCTTATCAGACTTGCAGTGACACCGATGTTCTTTGCTGCCTTTTGACATTCTTTGCAAAAGACAAATAGACATGCAATAATTTCCTTAGTTTCAACACATGTAGTCAAATTGCTGCTTGCAGTGTGATACCAAACTGTTTGTGTCTTTGATTAGTCATTCCCCAGGGCAAACTATATTTAAAATAAGGAAACATGGTAGAATAGAAGGTGCCCCACCTTTTGAAGAAGAAGCTTTAGTTGTATAACTAAAGACTGGTCTTAATTTCTTGGCTGGTAACTTCCTCCTTTCACCACACCTACTGTTACTGGCAGAAAAGGAGAGCAAACTGTTGTCAGAGCGAGCAGACACATGCCAAAGAAATGGTGGGATCCTTAAAATCTTTTACCTATAAGTTCCATGTGGAAGTCCATATGCTGAGGCTGTGTGTCGTGTTCATCTACCTTTTGTATGGGGTGAAAACAGGTAAGAATCAACCATGTGTTTTGAATGTTTTGGCAAATATAACATGTTTTCTGTGCTTTGCAGAAACGTTAATATATCTACCCTCTGCATTTACTGTTACTGTGTAGGGTTTTTCGCTAACATTATTTATTTTGGCAAAGTAAATAATACTGGTTACATGAATGTCGTCAGCTCTCAGAGTTCCAAATGTAAAACCAGAAGTCATTTTTATTATCTTTTCCTCACTTTGCAAACATTTCTCTTATATAAGTACTATCCACCGACACTGAAAATGTCATTTGAAATCTTCCGAGAAGAATGATTTCTTTTCAGCAGTGTTTTATATGACAGACGCAAAGGATGAATTGCCATTTATGAACAATAACCTTCATTTGATATCCTCACAGCCCTATCAAGAATCAACCTGTGTAACAATAAACAAATGTACTGCCTTGTGTTAGCATACACATGGGAGCAAGTCAAGTTATAGCTCTCTGCTTTGTAGG